TTCCGATGCCAACACCAGTACCGCCACTGCCAGACCCAAACCCTTCTCCAATACCTACACCAGAGCCTCCAGACCCAACTCCTTGCCCGATTCCAACTCCATGGCCCGAACCATATCCAACCCCGTAACCGACGCCGTTTCCATAGCCAAACCCATATCCGCCGCTGGGGTTAGCATCCATATCAGGGTCTGGCTCACTTGCCAAGGGCTTAACTTTATGATCAGGGTCTAGCTCCATCAAATTAGACTTGATCAAATGCTCAGGCTCTACCTCAACCATCCCAGACTTAACCTTATGGTCTGGTTCACTTGCCAAGGGCTTAACTTTATGATCAGGGTCTAGCTCCATCAAATTAGACTTGATCAAATGCTCAGGCTCTACCTCAACCATCCCAGACTTAACCTTATGGTCTGGTTCACTTGCCAAGGGCTTAACTTTATGATCAGGGTCTAGCTCCATCAAATTAGACTTGATCAAATGCTCAGGCTCTACCTCAACCATCCCAGGCTTAACCTTATGGTCCGGGTTCAGCTCAACCAACCTAGACCTAATTATGTGGTCAGTATCAAGCTCGCTCGTCTCCATCATGGCCTCATTGTGCTGTTGTGAGCCCATTTCTCGAAGGTCATTCATGGGGAGATCCATAAAGAGCCTACTTGCACAACTAGAACTGAAGCATAGCAAGAGAAACAACCCAAAGCACTTGCCTTTGTGTCCCTGCGCCATTTCTCTGTGTTTGTTTGGTTATGTTCTACATTGTTCAGTGAAGGGTCGCTCGCTTTTATAGGGTTCCACATCTGAGATAAGAGAGTCCACAACGCAATCCGAAAACGCAGAATGTCCCTCAGAAAATGCGCCTGAATTTAGGGTTCATGACTATCACATGAAAACTGATTCAAGGAGCTCTACTTACCGTGACGCAAGGAAGGAACATTGTCGGGAAGCATTCCAATTGTAAGCAAGAAACTGTGATCAACAAAATTTTCATTACAAGGAACTCAAAATGAAACTACTTCCATGGCATATTCAGACACTCTCACCATCACCTTGTGCTTCAGCAGCACTCAAGCTCTCAGCCAAAGAAATGTTTTTTTTTTTAAATGTTCTGCTGTCGCCTCCATGTACAAACCTAAACAACATTGTGAAGAAACGAATTCAATCTTCAAGACCAGAAAATTGTAATAAAAGTTCACACTGATTGCACTTCCAAACGATCAAACTAGTACAGTTCCGCCGAATCATCAATGAAGCCGCTTTGGAAACTGAATGGCGCTAACGCCGTGCGACACCGAAAACGCAAAAACGCGGAATAATGCGATGATCTCCGTTTCGGGAAACGCAACGCTGACGTCAAGGGAGCGGCTAGAAACGCCGACCGTGAAATTTACCCTACAATGGGCGAGGTGTAAAGCTTACCGGAAAAAGGCGGCTGCGGTGGCAGATACGGCGGCGGAGAGAGGGAGATGCATAAAAGCAAAGGGTCACGTTGTAAATAATTAAGTATATAGTACTATTTTAGTAATTGTGTGAATGTTTAGGACTAATATGTAATATCACCAATAAGGTAGACCGATTTGTAATTTTAAAACCAAATTTATTTGGGTTACTGAAAATTGTGCTTTTATCTCGAGGGAATAATCAGAATTTATCGTCTAACAAAATCAACTCTTTCTACCATATTTTTTTTTCCTACTATTGTCAAATTGTATTTATTAAATATATTCTAATTTATCTTATATAAATTTTGTGTATATCCACCTATTAAATTCTCTTGAATATTGACTGACATGTAAACAAATAATTTATAAAGAAAATCTATGTAAATACTATAATTGTTTTTCTCTGTTCATAGTAATATTTTCCTAAAAATTCTATTAATACGATCCAATTAATTTTAATATTATCAATTTATTTAATACCTAACATATTTATTCATGTATTTTTGTTAAATGAAATTATATCTAAATATACAAGTATCTAAAAAAAATCACGATCCAACAAAAATTAGTTTTTATATTATATCAGGAGTAAAAACAAATATACAAGTATTTCAACAATTTTGACGTGTAAACAAATAATTTTTAAATGAATGATACTATATGAATTTTTATAAATTACGAAATGAAACCAAACTTTTTGCATTAAACCGTTTTATCATAAGATTTTCCAATAACTACTGACATAAAATTGTTTATTGGCAAAATGAGAACCCTATTAAATTAATAATAAAGATAATATAATATTTGTTTAATTGGGAAATTTAAAAATAATGAGGGTGAGTTTGGAATTTTCTATATTAATCATACTTAAGCGCGTGACCGACACCGCCGTTGCCGTCGCGCGTAGAGAACGAAGGGGCAAATTCTGTCATTTGTGAAATGTTCGACGAAACAAATATACGTGTGCTGCCATTCTTTCGCCTTCTCCTCCTCCGCTTTTACACTCTTCACTGTTTTATGCGTCACCCACATCCTCTCCGTATTTTCTAATTGTTCCCTTCGCCGTCTCCGGCAACGGCAACGGAAAGTTCTCTTCTTTTTCCCCTTTTTTCCGTCAAATCCACCGATTTCGATTTTGTAATTCTGAAATCGAAATCACAATCTTCTGTTGTTCTCTGTGTCGGTCCTCATTGGCTTCTCCAGAAATTAGTTCTCTGATTTCAGCTTTGCTGCGGCGGCGATCTCCGGAGGAATCATTCGTTTTCCGATCGATTTCAGCGTGTTAGGTATGAAAATTTATCGATCTGTTGGCTGAATGCGGTCTCAGGATGAGTTCCGCCGATTGTGGTTTCGTCGTCTGTGAAATCTAAACGGACGTTCTGTTTCCAAAAGTTTCACGTTTTATCTCTCAGAATGAGTCACGATGAAGATGATGTTTTGAAGAATTTTCGTGTAACTTCGTGGTGTAGATTTATCTCTGCTTTATGAGTAGAAATAAGAAATAAGTTGAACACTCGTCACATCATCTCGTTGTATACTTATTTCAATGTGAATGTAACTTTAGTTATCGTTGACCTTCAATTCTGAATTGAAATCTGTGCTTGAAGTACTTGTGGATGATCTCTACGGACATATAACAGTGGAGTGTCCTCTTTGGTGGAAATTAGGAGCATTGTGGTTTGGTTTTCAGTTAATATAAAAACAGTGCTGCGAAGATTAATCAGCTTGGTTTCGTGGAAGTGGAAGCATTTCGTTTAGGGAACTAGTGGAGGAAAGTTATAGACTTTGTAAAAGAGAGCATGAATGGACCATCGGGGAGGGGAGATTCTGCATTTTGGTCCTGTTTGTGTTTTTGCTTCTTACTGTTCTTGTGCCTGCTGATGCATGGCTGTTTTTGCTTTCATGCATCTTGAATCGTTGATATGATATTAGATTAATTTGTAATTTTTCTTTCAGCTCATTTGTTTTGGAATAACAATTTTTTTTAGCTCAGGTCATTTACTTTGCGTCGTGAAACAGAAATGGCAACCACTGCAAGCGCTTCACTTCGCGATTCAGATTCAAGAAGCTTGCAAGTGCTTCTTGAAGCTTTTGGTTCTCGTTTTTCTCTTGAGGACATTGATACTGCTTTTTGCCAAGCAAATCGTAATGTCAATAAAGCTGGTGAGATCCTCTTTGCAATGACGGAGAAGATGCCTAAAAGTGACGAGCTCAATGTGAGTGAAGCAATTTTGGATCCAACTTCTCGCAATGTTCCCCAGGAAGTGCATCAAGAAGATATGAAAAGCAGAGTATCAAAGCCGAAGAAATATTCTGCATCAGTTGGCACTGTTTCAAGTGTTATCGGGAAGGAGTATGTTAGTACCAGGACTTTAGCAAATGCCCCCCGTAAAGCAACCAAACCATTGAAGATAGATGCAAAGGATATTCCAGAAACTGAGATATGGAGTGAAGAAATGCCAGAAAATTCAAAGGGAAACAGTGACAGGTCACAGACTGATGTCGAGGAATTTCTCATAAAGATGCTCAGAGAAGGCTTTCAAGTTAATCCAAGTGTTGTCCACGAGGTTCTTGGTACTAATTCTATAGCTTTACTTGATTCTGCTCCGTAGCACATGTCAATAAATCTTTTGCATTTGGAAATAAGCTTCATCCATATATTCAATCTTTCTGGATTATAGTTTGAAATTTGAACTGTAGATCCTTTTCCTTGGTTAATCTGTTTCGCTGTTCTTAGCTGCTGATTAATGAATCTGCCGTTTCTCCTGCTTTTCAGGGAGTTGTGGATATGACGTGCACAAGGTAAGTCAATCTCTTGTGACCTGATTCATCTGAAATAGTGCTCTATTACTTTCTTATTGAGCTACTTTGACTAAGTGTTTACAAATATACCCTGCAGGGTAACATAGAAAAGAATATTGTCATGTGATAAAACACTTCTCTCATTTCACTGTTGATTACTTACTTTTCATGTGTAGCCAGGCACTCCATCCTGCTATTTGCTGTTTTTGCTGTTTCTGGCATGATTTTCCTTCTTTAATTCATTCTCTGTATGCTAAAACATCTAGGTTTGTTTTCACTATAGAATTTGGGTTTTGGTGATGGAAGGGACGACAATTACCTTATTTTTGCAACATTCATTGCTATTACAAGTCTTTAAATAGGCATTTGTTTCCTTTTACTATTATGTCAATAGATCTTGCATTTATTAGTGTCCTTGCAGTTGTGCTGTGACTACGTCTTTTTACCCATGGTATATTATTCTTTACATTATGACTGATCATGCAGAGCATGGAGAAATTGCTCGACTTGTCTGACATAAAAAAGCATAATAATGGCGGCATTGCAACTGGAATGGTAAGTTTTTGTTATGGCTTGCACTATCTGATGATTTGAGGACTACTTGCACTTCAAATTCTTACTCAGCTTCTTCTTCATCTACCAGTTTTCTTCTCTTCATCATGTTATCACACACGTTTGTACGGTTGAGTCTTACAAAAAGAGTATAGGCTTATCATAGTAACGAACAACCTCTCTTAATCTCGACTCAATATTCCTTGTTCATTTGTCATAGAGACCTGAGGAAAAACCTAAAAAGCAGGGATCTAATTCATGTCATAACGTGGAAATGCAAGATTCTGCTCTAAGGCATGCTTCTAGTGCCTTTTCTTTCTTTCTTTCTTTTTTTTCGGGTTACTCTCCATTGTGAGCTAACGTAGGAATCATTTTGATCTTGTCCTGTGAATTGCATTTTTTGAGAAAACGGCAGTGATGCAGCAAGTAACTTGACAAGTCCACTCAAAGGAAGCAAAGTTAAAACAGATCTGCAGAGGGAAGTTTTAGAAGCATTGTTCTCAGGTGCTCAAAGTTTTGAGGAAGAAGCAGAAGAGATACGACGAGTTGGAGAGAGAAGAGCCAGGGCAGTGGGTAGACCAGTTGCAAAACCTCTGGTTCTGGACGAACCGAATCATAAAAGAGTAGTAGTTGTAAAACAACTTCCTCAAACGCTCAAAGAAGGTACCAACTTAGTGTATATGACTTTTCTCCTATACAACTTGCTTTTAATATTTTTCTTTTTCCTTAAACATGACTTGAACCTACATAAACGGCTATTGGATTTCATTTTGGCCCTCAGGAATTGGTGGTTTGTTAAAACAAGCCGTTTTTCTTCAGACTGTAGAACCTGCCATGGCTAGATTTCGTCAACTTTTCTCCTGTTTTATGAGTGCTAAATTTTCTTTCTTCTCCCGTAACAGGTGAAGATCATGATGGCTTTGAAGCTCTACGAAAAGCAGCAACTGAGTATTGGAATGTGATGAAAGAATACTACAAAGCTGTAAGTCTTTACCATGGGGGAATTATCTGAGAAGTACTTGAAATGTTAACTTCCGTGTTCTTTGAAAATAAAGTTCAAGAAATGATAATTTCCTGTGTTTGGATGTCGCACATTACACTGAACCAACCAGTTATGACCTCTTTTCCTGCAGGCTGTAGAAGCATTTCTGAAAGGTGAAACCGAACGATCATACAGACTTCTGGAAGAAGTAGGTTTCTTTTTTTTTGACACATTAACAATTGGATTTGTTTTCACATTAAAAATTATTGATGAAAACATTTGAAAAGGAACTGTTATTCCATCATAATCTAAGTTTCCACCAGATTAAATGCTTCGCTTGTGTTATGTGTCGGTATCTCATGTCTACCCTGATTTTGTAGGGACATTCTTTCAAACAAAAGGCTCGAGAAGCAGATGAGAAGTCCGTAGCAAAGCTGGTAGAGGTCAAGTCAGTTTATTCCTCAATCCTCAACCAGTCCTCTACAACCATACGCGTTTTATATTTTCTCAGACAAGACTCTTCAAAGTAATTCAAACTTAAATTTGCAGGGAAGACAGCGGACCAACTTACGAGGAGGATGAAGTGGTGACACTGAATTTGCAAGAACACCAACCAAAAGAAGCTCTTCGGGTTCTCAAGCATCAGCTGACTTGCTTCTCCGGCATCTCATGTAAGTTTAAAAAAAAAAACATCTTCTGTTATCCTTTTTCCCCGAAGAACGAAACACTAATCTAAGCCTCCCTTCTGTTGTCATCAGACTTCAAGTACCTTAGAATCATAGTAGGCGTCAACACCGAAGATACCAAAAGCTCCCGTAAACGTTTGGTATGATTCCATCCCTATACCCATCTTCTTTCCAAATCTGAATGCTAGTTTCTTTTTGTCCATGAACCTGTGAAACTATTTTTTATTTTCGCCGTCATCGTTGCAGCTGGTTAAGCTGCTGGAGAAGGAATCAATCGCTTGGTCTGAAGAAGATAATGGCCTGACGATGATGATTCAAGTGGATAAGATCGATCCCAAAAGCTTGAGTTTTGCCAAGAAATAGGGGATCATAGGATGAAAAAAGAGTACACATCCATGCAAACCCTTTTAGCCTCAAATCTGTCCATCTGAACATTCAATTCCTTTTTTGCAAACCCTCTCTTATCTGAGAAAGAGACATAACCCAACACATTTTTGCGTGATACATTCTTTTTTATCAAAGAGACCCGAAGATTCAAGCCATCATCAATGTTACAACATTACTTTGAATGTTTGAGACCCCATTCCATTCCAATATATATGTATATGGCCAAGAACAAAAAGGATTGTTTGGTCGGTCATTGGGTAAGTCTCTGAACATCTGTCTGATCATTGTGGTCTAGGGTCTCGAGCAGAAGAGGCGGAGCGTACTGAGCAGTCCCTTGGTGCTCCTCCGAGTCCTGACAGAAGGAAAGAATGATTGTCTCTATCGACATCTCGACCACCGCGAAGAATAGCGTCGCCACCACATACCCCAACACCCAACACACCTGTTTGCAAGATGAGAAACCCCGGATCAAGCTCAAGACTAAACAGGCATTCGCTAACCAAATGATGTCTGGACATTACCAAGACGGGGAATAACGGCGACGAGACTTTGTTGTGAGAGGATCGGTACTTGTGAGAATCCAGCATGAGGAAACCGAAGAGGGCGCTGAAGAGGCTCACGCAAAGCTTCCCGAGAAACAATATCACATCTCCGATCACATTCACCTTCCCTATCCTCAGAACATTGTTGATGATGAGCTCTGTAGCCATTGCAGAAGATTTACAGAAGCTTTTCCCAGTTATAGCAATCTGTCGGGACAGTACAGACATCGATCAATCGACCGCAAGAACCCGGGACAGGGTTTAAAAAAAGGTTTGTTTCGGAAATATACCATTATGTATGCGTTTCGGTTAACTGACTTGATAGTCCACTCGATGCTTTTCAGGCAACCACGGCAAGCGTAATAAGCCATTCTCCCAAACCAGTTGTCGGGAGGGGTACCTGCTACTTTCAGCTTGCGGCGAATCGCTTCAAGAATGAACCTGACCGACTCCACGAACGAGACAATGAGTGAACCAAGAGCCACCGATCCTACACTGTAGCGCAAAAACCGCTTCATAGAAGCAAACACAGGAAGAAATGGAATATCCGGCTGCATCATTCACACAAAAAGAAAAGCATTTAAGTCCCAGGATATGTTTTCCATATCATACACATAATGCTATAACTCGGAACTGAAGCTTATACCGATACATCGCCCCGAGCCCAGTAATAAGAGGCAACGGAACCGGCTATAACGGTAGCAGAGGCTGCAATGAAGAACTGAGTCACCCAGTAGCAACCGAATATGTGGAAGAATATGGAAACCGCGATATGAGGGGTGTAACGGATGCTATATCCGCAACAACGATCACAGTTCACTCTTTTCGCCCCGAGTTCGTACACGCAGCAGTTAGAACTGCAGTTGTTCTGAACAACCTCTCCCGAACTGAACAGATGAAGAGCCGCCGATATCCACAGCATGTAAAACACCGCAAGGACTGCGTACGGTATGACGGGAAATATTACGAGCGCTCGAACCTCCCCAATGACTTTGGCTGCTACCTGGACAACGACATTCTCGAGGAACAAAAACCCGGTAAGAGCCTCATTCCACTTGCTCTTTTAAGTTATTTGTGACTCGAGAATATTATTACACTGAACCTTGAGAACAGATGTTGCCAAGAGGATGCGTCGGATAATGGCGAGTGAAGTGAGGAGAGCGACAACTGAGATAAATGTCATCAGAACAGCCATTGCACGGACATGAGTAAGCTCCTGAAAGATTTACAAATTACAATACAATAATTGTTGTTACATTTGAGGGTCATATAATGGGGAATGGTGTGATTCCATATATGAAAAATGCTTGCAAGAAATGTAACTTACTCGACCATATACATGATAGTAAGGATCATGCTCGCCAATAATGGGTGTTACAGCATTGTTCCCGATCCATCCAGCTATGGAAAAAAGGAAAGGCATAATTATGATTATAAGTTCGTGAGAACATTGTGAAAGTACCGTTATATATAAAACGTTTTCCTTCAAAAGGCGAAACCTTTCAAGTAATAGAATATTGTCACCGAGATTAGGAGAATGTTGAATAAGGCAACAGTTATCCAAGGCATGGCTGCAACGAAATGACGAATCAGCAGAAGCCATATAACCGATATGAAGAGCGGGACGAGGCCTCCGCAAACTATCAAAACCGGCCATGATTTCCCGATATCAGCAATATAACGCTGCAATAACACAACAAACCCGACAATATTTACAGCATTTCTCAGTATCAAATAGAGAGTGGAAGAAGAAAACGGAAAACCAAAGTTAGAAACTTTGAAGAAGGAACTGTATATTTACTCAACCTTCAGAACTGAGGACCGAGAATTTATCGACCTATGAATCGCTTTGTCTATTAGCATGTCCTCTTGAATTTGCACACCGCCCATCTGGTTCCAGTGGCGTAAAGACGTGTTTGAAGCCCGAGCTATAAACTGACAGCTCCAATACACTACAGAGTCATCGATATGATCATGTTACACCATGGAAATCGAAAAGAAACAAGCTTTATATAAGCATGGAGTGCAATTCAAAACCAGACTTAACATAGTTATATTCTGAAAATGCAAACCAGAAAATGGAAATGAAGCTAAATGTTTAATGGAATTCTTACCGTTCACGCTCGGGAATATGACAGGGTAACAAGGGCCTTGAAGCTGAAGAGAGGAATTCCTCATTTCCGGGGTGAGGAATTCAAAGTAATCGTAATTCCTATCGATCCAATCATTCATACTGAGACGAATCTCGCCGTCTGGATAGTCACAGACCCAGTTGAGCGTATCATCATAGGGTATAGGACAATCTAACAGGCATATACTCCGAGCATTATCCAGCTTGAATTGCCCGTCTTTCAAACCGCTTTCGTAAACTTGGTTCGGGTTCAACCAGTATCTAAGCTCGAGCTGAGTAAGATCACGATGCGGATGCTTGCTACCGCACACATGCCCTTCATAGTCCAATCCATATGTGAGCCTGCAACAACATCTCATAGAATCATTACTAGCACAGTTATAACAAGTATATCATCACACTATCAGCGGACATGGAAATCAAACACAGAAGAAACTGTGGTTCCGCTTGATCAATATACCATCACTATCACTGTCATAATCCTTCATCTGTAGGAAAGGTCGCAGCTTCTGTGAAGAAAACACACTTCATGTACTTGAAAGCAAGAACCACTGACAAAATTTCACAGAGTAATCGGTGCCTCGGGACAATGACGACGCTTTGGCTCTTTGGTAAAAGAATCACATGATGAATTGAAGTTACCAAGTTTGAATATAACATCTTTCCTAAAGAACAGCAAGAAGAGACTAAAAAGGTACAAAATTTAAGATGCTAAAACAAAAATCTTACGACCCACAACACACAATGACGAAAACCACAAGAGAAGCTAACCGAAATGACAAAATTAGGGAGAAAGATGAAAACCCGTTTGAGGGTTTTAGGGGGAGCCGATGAAATGAGCGGACATTGTTCAAGATTTCAAGCAGGAATCTTTATATCTAACCTTAACGGGTTTCCTTTGTTGAAACCGAAGCTGGAATTCACAATCATAGAAATCCAAAACGCGATGAAAACCACAAGAAATGCAATATCTCTGCACTTCCGGTTGTGCTTGATGATTCCATCGTCTGGGGCAGTACCATCACTGGAAGGGTATCTCCCTATCACAGCTCCCAAAGGTCCTCGCATGTCTTCCGCACTGTATCTACAGCTGTATCTATATGCGTCTCTTCAAACCCCTCAAAAACCCTCGAAGAAAAAAAAAAAGTATCTTCGGAGAGACAAGTCGAGACCTTTTTCTTCGCAGGAGAGAGAGAGTGTCTGTCTGTACATAGTGTGAAAGTATGGAAGGGTTTTATGTCTTTTAGATTGGAATATTTTTTTTCTTCTGGAAATCCTTTTCATAAATATCTTTTTATATTTTAAGACAAAAATCTTATGGGATGTCAAAGTTATCGCAGTAGAAAATCGAAAAGTTTAAATCTTTAAATAAAATTAAACAATTGGTTCATTCAAATCTTTGTTCTGTTTGATGTGTGGACTAAAACAAATTCTTCTGTTCTTGTTCACAGTGAGATCTGCAACTTCATCAGTCCGTTAACGTAACGTATATATATTATATATTCTACTTTCATTTACATTTGACAAATTGAGTATTTTTAACGAAAATGAGACTTTTTTTTAAATAAAAACTAAATCCAATCGAATAGAATAAAACTATAAATTTACAAAAAAAAAAAGAAGAAGAAGAGAGATGTAGATTTTATAAAAGAAAAAACGAACATAAAATGGATATAAATATTATAAAATAGGAAAAACGAATAAAAAATAGCCGAACAAATAGTTACCAATTACATAAATATAACCAAAATGTAGTAATTTTATAGCCTTTATGTGGCCTTACCGAAGATCAAAACTGTATTGTATTTGTTTATTTACAAGAATTACGTCAATAACAAATAGGACAGAGAAAATTAATAATTTTCAATGCCAAAGATGCTTTTTTTAATTGACAGCATTTAATTAATATTTTGGCGATTACAATTAATTAACTTTTCTTATAATTTTTCACCAGTTAACTTTTTTTCTCCTCTTTACATATACTTTTCTGTCCCCTCTTAAACTTTACATTGAGAAAAAAATATATGGGGGAATCAAATTTTCAATTTTTATTTTATTTTATTTGTTATCTCTAATTAGAAATTCGATATAACTTCCAAATATTCAGAATGAAATGAGTTTAATTGTCCAGTTTGGTGATTTTTATTTAATTGTAGTTTATTAAATAGGTTTCACCTCTTTTTTGTCATTACAAAATGAGAAAATTAAGATTAAAAATCCAGAAAAAAGGGGAAAAAAAGAAATTGGAATAATAAAAAACCCAAAAGCCCGTATAAGGAAATGGGCTCATAGAGAATTATAAAGCAGCCCAAACCCCGCACCCGTGTCACCAGCGCAAAAAGGCATGTAATATATAATATACGAGATAATGACTATATAATATTAGCAATTAATTCTGCATGTTTTAGATTCATATAATTATACACAATTTATCTTAATCATATATAATGATTGTAGATGTTAGATATACTTTTTTTTTTAACTCACCGATCTCTGTTGTTGATAACAAGAGTGTCGTATCCAAGAGGCTACAAAATTGCAAAACATAATATAATGAAATGTTATTTAACTATATCTAAAATTGAAAACCCAATATTTCAAATATCGAATCCGAGACAACTTTACGTGGTCGAACATTATGTCACAGTTGATGTTAGTGTGCTTAGTTTTTCGAGTGTGTTTAAAGACGTTCTGTTGGAGAAGAGGCGTACATTATTGGACATACTTGGACGTGCATGAAGATTTTGGAAACATGTGGATGAAACAATTAAGGCAACACAAGAAAGGAAAGCATAAAATGTGGATAAAAGAATAGGAAAGGCACAATATTCTCCGCCAATATATCAAGTCAACTAAAAACACTTGCAAACTCTATAATTTCCACACGTTCAACGTTTATGATCTCCCCAATCGTTTGGTTAGGTGCATGTTGACAATGATATATATATATATATATACGGATTATAATATATATTTATTAATCAACGTGAATGATACGCAAAAGATTTCAATCAACTAATCCTATAATTTTCTTTTATTAATTCATTTGTTTTATAATGACCAATTGGCGACAGGTTTGGTTTGGCACATGTAATAAAGAAACAAAGTCTGTCGGGGCAGATGCGTGTATAAAATGCATGCATACACACACACCCACATGCATTGATTGATTGAGAGAGAGAGAGAGAGAGAATGGAGGTTCCAGAGTTCTTGAGGGACGACAAACTGAGCGAAGAAAGCAAGAATCTGATATCGAGACTTGCAAAGGACAAGAACTTTCAGGGAACAGACATATGCAACTACAAAGGATGTTGGTACTTTTTCAACGCACTTCAAGGCATCCTTCATGCCCAAACCCATTTCCACCCTCAGGATTCCGATGTATTCCTCTCCTCCTTCCCCAAATCAGGCACCACTTGGCTCAAAGCCCTAGTTTTCGCCCTTATCCACCGGCACAATCACCATCATCATCATCACCATCCTCTTCTCGCTCGAAACCCTCACGACCTCGTTCCCTTCCTCGAGCTTCGCTTGTATTTCAAGAACCAAATCCCCGATCTCTCCGGTTTCCCATCTCCAAGGCTCTTCGCAACCCACATGCCTTTCCCAATGCTACGTGAAACCATCAAGGGTTCCCCTTCCAAGATCGTCTATATCTGTAGGGATCCGAAAGATACGTTGGTTTCGGCTTGGCATTTCTACGGCAAGTTACAACGCCAAGAAATAAGGCTGGAGACCGTGTTCGACTCCTACTGCAGAGGAGTTCATGCCTGGGGACCCTTTTGGGACCACGTCCTGAGCTACTGGAAAGAGAGCGTCAAGAACCCTAAGCACGTGTTTTTCATGAGGTACGAGGAATTGCAAGCGGATCCGACAGTTCAGTTGAAGAGACTCGCCGGTTTCTTGGAATGTCCCTTCACGGAGGAAGAGGAGAAGAGTGGAGCGGTGGATCAGATCTTGAAGCTATGCAGTTTTTCTAGTCTGAGCGGCTTGGAGGTGAACAAGACCGGGAAAACGCCTTCGGACATCGATTTCAAGACCTTGTTCCGGAAAGGCGAAGTCGGAGACTGGGCCAATTACCTCACTCCCGAGATGGGGAAGAGAATCGACGACATCGTGGAAGATAAACTACGAGGTTCCGGTTTAACATTCCTATAAACATCAGCATCGTCTTAATCCTAAAACATCCCACATCGAACAAAGGTAATCCCACCATAAGAGAATATGCGTATTTCTTGTGAGTTCTTGATGGTTGTTCTTCGTATTTTCCTTTTGCATCCCTTATATAAAGTTTGAATGCGTGTGTGAATCTTTGTTAATTAAGAGTTGATTTTGTCATCGGTAGACATAAGTAGCTTAATATATAGTCGTGATTATGATTTATTAAATAATAATCAATATTCAGCATAACTCCTAGTTTTCGGAGCCATGCTTACACATAATAACCGCATCAAATTAAATAACAACCGTCAATGAACATCACCCAAAGAAAAAAACAAAGGGCGAGTTCATAATGAAAGCAACGAAACATTAGAGGAACTGGTTCCGAGAAGAGAAGGTTTGTCCGTACCACCAAGATCTGGGGACAACGTTAAGAAACGACATCGTTTTGGAATCCACGAGGGTGACTCTGAAGGAGAGGCTCTGTCCTCGGAGATCGGTGGGGCTCTGCCAGTTGGCTCCCCAGTTTCGGGCCATCGGAATCCAAGCCCTAGCCCTCGAACCCCTCACCGCCACCGCCCTCACGGCTCCTCCGCCTCCGACGTTTGAAATCATTACCATGTTGAAGTTCCCTTGCCCTCTCATCGTGAACCTCACTCCTCCTCTCCTCTTGCATGCAACCCTGTAAATTTTATCCATCCATGCAACGAATCAATATGTATACACTCTTCTGGATTAGGGTTTTTTCGTGATATTGATGTTATAGTTATATATAGTTGTGTGACCTGCGGTAGAGGACGGGGACGATGCCTTCGTTCCCGGGGCGGGCGATGAGGAAGAAGGAAGGCATGGACATGTCGAAGTGGTGGCGAGGGAGGTTGCACCATCCGCCGTTGTTGTTGGATGGGCAGAAATTGGTGGCCGTAACCGTCACGGCGGCTCCACGGCGGCACCACTTAGGGTCGGCCATGAAGTGGCAGGTGACTCTGTAGCAGCCGCCGCATGCCTCGCCGCCTTTGAAGAGAGCTCCGCTCAGCGCCGCCGTGTGGGCACCGAATCCGGCGTGGTAGGTGTTGTCATACCCACACGCTCCTCCTGCATATATACACGTGTCCCATCCACTATTACCAACCCGCATTAATTAATTAATTAAAATTAATTAGTTACTAGACAAATTAAAAACAGAAGTGAAAAGCCAATATGGCATTAGGTGTGAGGTGGTTAGAGATAAATTTTTTGTTAAAACATGGTTAGAGATAACTTGTGTACTCCGTCATATATAAGTTACTCTCCCTTTTTTAAAAAAATTTAACTATTTAAGGTTATAAATAACTCTTCTTCGATATATATATATATGTATATATATAGTGTTAGGATAATGTTTTATAATTCGACAGACAAGTGGGCTTGAGAGAATATTGCATATTTATCAAAGAAATAAACACACCCACACACACACACACACACACATATATACATACACAATTCAGAGATTGAAAAACTCTTGCCCAAGTCGTGAATTCAACAACAGCATAAGAAAAAAGTTGTGAATATAGATTACGTTATAATAAAACATAGATTATAATTAATTTCTTGCTTACCAAGGGAAGCCGGGTTATCATTAGCACCGTAGTACGTTGCATGAGCCCTAATCCAACCGCTAGAACACATTCCCGCACGAAACCCACCAACGAAGAGAACCACAACCAAATATAATTTCACAATATCCATAACCAAACGGTCCAAATAATTGTAATTAAAAAAAGAATTTTAAAATTTAATTTGTGATGCTTTGGGTTTCAGTTTCCTTTGCTGTATATATAGATGAAGAATACGAGCGCCTTTGCCCCTCGTTATATAAGCATCTCTAACGCGTTTTGTCGGTGATAACAAAGGCACCACAATCTCATATGCATGTGTTCGTTATCTTTCTTAGTTGGATCTCTTTTTTTTTATAATACATATAAATGTATTTTGTGAAAATTCTCTATATCTTATTACAAATCTGAAAATTAAATGTACATAGAACTAAAACAGAATATGAATCCGAATAATAGACTAGATCACTTGTGTGTTTCCGGTCCATAAGAGACGATAACTCAATCAACTATGATCTAAATCAATATGTTGACTTCCGAATTAATCAAAATATTGTAATTTCATTTTAATGCAAGTGACAAAGATTAAATGCATGAACTCTTTTTTTGAAAATGCTGTAAAACGAGTCGTGACTCGCTAAAATGGTGTAAAAAAAATTTGAACTCGTTTTAAAAAAAAGTTGAACCGAGCCGAACCATCTCATGGCAATTTGGCCAAACCGAACCAATTTGCAAGCCAATGGTATTTTGGCTCTACAAATACATAAGATTGCAAAGTAGTTGAATGAAATGATACATAATAATATCCGAACTGAATAAAAATCGAATGGATATTTTTTCTAAAATATAAAATTTGAATCACAACTCAATATGGACTGAAAATAAAGATAATAAATCGACTAAAATTTTCGTTAAAATGAATATTTTTATCAACAAAAATCGAATTCAAATAGAACCAAATCCAACATACATACAAATCAAATAGGTATAAATTTTTCTAAAATCGAAAAATCTTAAAAATTAATTGAACCCAGATCCGAAATGTCAAACTCCAAATCTTTACTTTGACCCACTAGGCTTTATGCAGTTTTAGTGGAACGTGAAAACGTATTCAACTATCAAAGAATTCTTTTTTTTTTTTGATAATCCGGAAGTTCACCGGACCTTTGGCCCGACTACATCTCCCAAAAGACCGGAAAAGTCCAGGTGAAAGCCCCTCCCCACGCTTGGGTTTGAATCCAGGGTGAAAGCATGTTTTGCATATTCTCTCACCACTAGGTCACCCAAGCATGGGTCTATCACAGAATTGTTATCCAAACCTAATAATAATAAGGGTGGTTGGATCTCTGGTCCGACTAACCTTTCGATTCTAAAGTGTTAGGGATACACTTTTTTTAGAAATTAAAACTCAATTTGGTAATATATTATATATTATATAGTTCACATAATTGCGAGTACTATAACGGAATGTGTCTGACAAACATTTTTTTTGTTAAAGGTCTGACAAACATTTAATGCCATTGGATCCAAATAAGAAAAAACGCGTTGTATTACGGACTATATACTATATGGAATCAACTTTGAATGAAGAATAATATAATGTCAATCCGCGTTGTACTATTCAGTACATAGAATGGGGAGGTACGGAATATATACACACACACATACACAGATAGATGTGATATAGATATATGTATAATGTATTAATGTATATGTCGTACGGCTAGGGTTTGAGAACAATTGCATGTGAGAAAACGTGAGATTGTGCTTATGAATCTTTTATGGCGTCGGTGGATTGGTTTTTCCCTTGCATTGTGATTCCGTGTTTACAAACTCACATTTTCTCTTTAATTTATTTTATTCGAAATAATAAAAGAACAGTAGATAATTTATACAGTTCATACCAATATTATACCAAAATAAACCAAATTATACCGATATTTTTTTTTTGTTACCATTTTACAACGCAATTTCCATCGCTATACGTTGCAAAATGACAACGAATCTATTTTCATCTTCCACAATTTGTTACCTTGAGATGAAACATAGGAAAATGTTTTGCCCGTTTCCTCTACAAGAACCTCTCTATAGTCTTCTCCAATGTCTCCTTGGGGACAGCTCCTATGATACTGTCCTTTTTCTCGCCGTCCTTGAATACCATTACGGTTGGAACACTGCGTATCCCGTAACGATCCGCTGTGTCTGGGCTCTCGTCCGTGTTCACTTTGTAGAAGTTGAATTTCCCCCCGAATTCGTTGGCCAGTTGATCAACTATGGGGTGGATCATACGGCACGGGCCGCACCATGGAGCCCAGAATTCGATCAGGACAGGGTTTTCGGATTCAAGTACGAGTGATTGCCAATCCGAGTCAGAGATGTTGGGTACTGCACATCAAACAAACCATCAATCAAGAACGTATCGGATCGAATGTTAAAAACAACAAGTAGGGAGAGTCATCACTCTCAAGTCACAATAAGTGGCAAGAGTGACATTAATGAACACAACGCATGGGGAGCTCTGATTGTTTCTGTAATAAAACCAAGGAAGAGTTGGGATCAGATCATGTTCTAAACCCCCATGTAATCACAGTTTCAAAGACATGGCAAAATGTTTTTTTTATTTATTTTGATGCATCATAAAAAGAATACATGTTGAATTCATCATAGTAAGCATTTGGAAACTCTATATATATACCCATTTGTTCATGTGACTCCATTGCAGCATCTCTGAGTAGAGCTATGGTGAGATCATATCACAGACAAGATCAGAAGCAATCTATACATGGAAATGTTGAAAAAACACCAAACATCAAACGAGGTTAACGGAATTCTCCAAGGCTTCAAATATCTAATTCTAGACACAGAAGACTCAATTGTGATCTAAACCCCCATTGTAATGACATGGGAACGAAATTAACAACGACATTCAACCACGAATTATCCATATAATAACGAAACAACGAGACGAAGAACGTTAAGGTTCAGACCTTCGACGGCGGCGGCAGTATCCTGAGCCTCGCAGACGATTCGTCCGCCACGAGCGAAATGCGGTCTGCGACTCGGTTCCTGCCTCAACGATCCAATAGAACTAGTGAATGAACCAGGAATGATCCTCAAACCTCTGAATTCCGGCAGCCTCGCCGGGGAAATCCGGCGTCCAGAAACCGACGAAACCGCGGAAGATCGAGAAGCTGCAATCGGCAGAGCAGAAACTCGAGTAACCGTTACAGAGTCAAGCATAGACGACATTGAAGCGCAGAGAGAGAAAGTGAAAGAGTGCTTTCAGAGATTCTTGGTGGTTTGGTAGTTATGGTAGACGATTCGAATGATAGAGAAACGGAGAAGACAGAGCAGTTTCGGATAATTCATACTTCTTTCCAATATTATTTATCCTCCGATTTAGGTATTTTCTTAAATTGCCGCCACATGGACGATCCTGATTTCGCCACGTCGGATTTCGAACATACATTTTTAACGGTCCGAAAAAATTGCGTTGTTAATATTCGAAACATTATACAATATAAGCAAATTAAAACTAAAATATTACTGAAAATGAACCACAGAAACAAACCCAAGTGAACGTCTACGAAATCATATACGGTATACAACAATACCGATCCGGTTAACTCAAACCGGTGTTGCTTGGGGCCAAACGAAATGGCAAGCCAGTATCTACTACCAGTCTAAAGGTGAAACACAGGCAAAACCCAAATGAAGAGAAGAGGGACTATGAAAGGTTTCTTTCCCGCATCAAAGACTCAATCTTTGACACATCCTCAGGTGTATCGACCCCATGAGCCTCGTGCTCCACCTTAATCACCTGCCAAAATACACGAAAGTTTGATCCTTGATAAGGTTTCTTCCAAACATTTTGGAGAGAGAGAGAGTGAGTTTGCAGAACCTTCATCTTGTAGCCATTCTCAAGGACTTTGAGCTGTTCTAGATCCTCTTCTTGCTGCAGAGGTGTAGGTTGAAGCTCCGAATATACCTTGAGAAACCTCGAATCGAAGCTCTGGGAAAGACCAACAAACGAACGAAAAAACGGGCTCAAATCATTACCGAAAGTGAATCAATGCACAGAACAGAACACAAGAACTGGTTGTTTCGTACCTGGATTCCAAGATGAAGCATGTACGGAAAATCCGGATTCACCTTACCCGACCTGAGATTGAGAGAGAACGGCATCATCACCATCATCATCAAAGCTTATATCATGCAAACTTCTTACGAGATACATACACATGACTGTGTAAATGTGCATATGTTGGCCAAAGAAACATACTTGTTGTAAGGAATCAATCCCCTCGAGAAGTAAATAGCATAACCACGGATATCCACCACACATTTAACTCGATTAGGATCAAACCCGTCTTCCGGTTTCAGCGATGTCACTGCCGTGCTAAACACTGCATCCGGAGCTGCCTGAAACAGACACAATACCTCAACACGAGATTACGAAAACAGACAACTCTCAATTCAAATCATGACCTCAAGAACCAATACTACACACACAGTCAGAGAATCCAAGCCTAAGACGGTCCAGTGGCGCGTATTAGTTGGACGGATAATATAAGATCATGATCCTAATCCAAGATTTAGCAAAAAAAATAAAAAAACTATGCATATGTAAGGAGACCTGAAGGGCTCTGACAACACCGTCTATTATCTCGGGCTCGATGAGTGGCTCATCTCCTTGAATATTAACGACCACATCGTACTTATTCTCCAGCTTTTCTAGTGCTTCGTTGCACCGCTCAGTTCCTATCCAATCACAAATGATGCATAATTTAGGCGAAACCAATCACATTTCAAATCCAAAATCTACTTAGAGAAGAAAAATGGGTCAATAGACGAACCATTTCTGCAAGATTCCGAAGTCATGACGACATCGGCTCCAAATCCACGGCAGCATTCGGCAATCCTCTCATCATCAGTGGCCACGACTGAGGAGAAAAGAAAACACAACAAATCAGACTTATTGGATCATAAAGAGCACAACATATACAATAAACCAGACATGACATAACTGAAGAAATCTATGCAGGTTAAGTAGCTCCCTGAACAAAACAGCAAAGAAGCACAACATGGTATAACGGATCTTAGCTATACATTAAGTATAAATGTTCATAAAAACATCCAAAACACGGAGAGAGGATCAGAACCACATTACCAACGTGATCCAGCATAGTTGCCATCTTCGACCTCTCCCAAGTTCTCTGTTTTAAGATCGATTCAAACGAGTGAGACAGACCAAACCAACCCACACATGGATAACCAGACGTGGGATTCATAATAACATAAAGGCAGAAACTTGAAACATGTAAACCAAAGAGAAGAAATTTCAATAGATCCAGAGAGATCATGAAGAAAGAACTTGAATTTGAGAACAGCACCACACGTTCAGAATGTTTGAGAAACAACAAAATCGAACAACATAGGGATCATGTAGCAATGCAGATATATATATATACAGAGAGAGAGAGAGAGATTTTGGAACCTGGATCATGGGTTTGCCGAGGATTTGAACGAGGGGCTTACCCTCGAACCGAGAAGAAGCGTAACGAGCGGGTATGATTCCGACGACCCGGCTCCGGAATTTTCTGGATCTACCCAAGTACGATCTTGCCCCAATCGCCACCGCAATCGCCGCTCCGGCCACGATTCCGTGCACAATCCATGTCTTCGAAGAAGACCAAGACGAAGAAGAAGAAGATGACGAGCAGATTGTCATCAGCTTTCGCGCCCAGTGAGCGAGGCAGGAAGGAAACAGAGAGAGAGAGAGAGAGAGAGAGAGAGAGAGAGAGCGTGTGCGTGCGTGCGTGTGTGTCGAGAGAGTGTGAGACGCGAGAGAGAGAGAGAGATTGTGCGTGTGTGTGTCGAGAGGGGTGGGCACGTGTCGGAGACTCGAGAGAGAGTGGGGGGGGCTCCGTCCGAAGTGGTCGTGTGAGAACCAGACCGGTCTATTTTGGTTTAGGTTACCAATTGGACCGGATTTACTAAAAAGTAAAAACTAACTGTTTATTGTGCAAAAAAGAAAACCTTTGTTTAGAAAGTGATTACCAGTCAAATCTTCCAGTTACCAATTAATGACGTATGGATTTCTCGTGGACCGACGGCAACAATATCCCGTAACAAAAAAAACCATCACCATAATAATAGAGAAATGTTTTTCTGTTATTGATAATCGGAAGAATACATCATAATATATAGCAAAATACAATAGGATATTCTAGACATAATATCTAGGGTAAATCATAATCATATCAATGATGATATTCTAAGAATAATATCTTCCTATATGCCTCGTCAAGATGAATCATCTATGATGAATTCAATCTTATTACATAAAAACTGAAAACTGAAATTATGATCGTATTAAACGAATCATCTTCCATTTGGTGGTGTAGTTCAAACTTGAGTCGGTGTTGTTTGATAACGTTTGAAGAGCTTGAGAGTTGTATTCTCAGAGGCTGATATGGTACGAAAGTGTGACATGTATGCGTGAATTGGGTTGCACGACAATGAAGTCGACAGCGCAAAAAAATTGCGGTGTATATAGCGGCTAGGCCGAAGAAAAAAAATGGGTGCAAAAGCGCGACGCATAATGCGTGATAGTGTAGCAGCGGAGCAAGATAGAAAAAAAAATAAGGGACGTAAATACGTGGATCGACGATCGGAGTTTTCCAATCGAAAGGGTTAAATGCCAATGTGTAAAGATCTCACAACGATTAGGGTTGACATCGATAAACAAACGTCGTCAGAGAAAAAAAAGGTAGCACATCGGCTAGGATTGACGTCGATAAACGAACATCATCGTAAAAAAAAAGTAGCACATCGGCTAGGGTTGACAGTGATGAGTATCGCCGTCGGAAAAAAAAACTAGAAAAAAAAAATAAAAAGAATGAAAGATGATATTCAAGAGGATGATACTATTAGAGTAAATCATCATCATCTTTATCGTCGCTTTCGGATTCGACCACCATTATTGATGTGAAGAATAAAAAAAATCTAGAACAAAAACTGAAACTCTGATACCATAATAGAGAAATGTTTTTCTGTTATTGATAATTGGAAGAATACATCATAATATATAGCAAAATATAATAGAATATTTAAGGTAAATCATAATCATATCAATGATGATATTCTAATAATAATATATTCCTATACACCACGCCTCATAAAATTCATATGATCTTAAATCTAAAAGACAAATTTTTGGTTCCATGAGCACATTTCAACACGTGCTATAATCAAGAGATGAGTAATTGGATCGGCTCAGAATTAGCTATCCTTGCGCAACAAAAGTGCATGGGATCTAAGCAACATTAAGATATGCATCTCAAACTAAACCCTAAACTTAGTAACTCCACATTAACTCCCCCCCTATCCCCATCTTATCCATTTCCATAACCAAATTTAAGCTTTTCGGTATAAAACCCTAATCACGATTTCCAATCCAAATGTCCAAATCCTGACACAGGAACCAGAGCCTAAGATCCAAACCCCTCTGCTTCAGACAGAACAGAACCTCAAAAACACACACAAAACAACAAGCAATGAACTCATTAGATGATATATCCGATCTCATGACATTGCTTGGCCTTGTGATCCTCGTAGGCTTCTGCGTCGCCCTCTTCGTTGTCATCACCGTCACTGCGATTTCCCTCATCATATATGTGATCATCGAGTGTCTTCTCCGACCCTTCTTCGGAAAATGCCTCGACATTGATCTCGAGATCGGTCAGAGAGCCAGAATTGTCACCTACCGTGCAATCATACCGACAGATATGAGATTACCCCTGGAGATCCTCGACTCTCGGGATCTCCATGATCCACGACGAGAGAAACGCGGGTTAGGACAGAACACGATCGAAACCCTGCTCCCGAAGCTACTTGTCCGGGGCTTCGAGGGGAGGTCCTCGACGTATGAGGAGTGTGCGATTTGCCTCAGCGACTACGGCGTTCACGAGGAGTGCAGGATTTTCCCTGTATGCAGACACATGTACCATGCACATTGTATCGATGCCTGGTTGAAGAATCATCTCACATGTCCCACTTGTCGAAAAGAGCTGTTAGATTCATGACAAAAGCCTACGGTCTTTTCCGATTTGTCTGTAAGAATCTGTACATAATTTTCCAACTTTCCAAGACAACTTCCCTACCCATTTGCCAATGGCAATAGAGTAGACATGATCGGGCATTTCGAACAAAAGAGATTCGTTGTTTACGGGTTCTTCTTATCTCCAACGAAACAGAGTATGAGATCGAACAAACAAGGGAGACGTTTTATGACAGAATCAGAACTGATACGAAGAACAGGAAGAAGAAGGATCGCCATTTAACCAGAACTTTCATATTCATCCATTGATATTCGATCTAAAGCTTATGACTTTAAACAAACCAGAATCATCTTCAAGACAGAGAAAGCATTCGGATTTATTTCCTCGTCCTCGTGGGCTTCTCATATTCGTTGTCGTCGTCGTCGTCATCGTCATCGAGGTCGTCATCCTCATCCTCGAAACCTTCCTCATCGCTAAAATCTTCCATCTCCTCAAAATCCCCTTCGTCCAAATCTCCACCGTCGTCCTCCTCGTCCACCACTTGCTTCCCACGCGCCGCCTCCATTTTCCCCGTCCTGAACCCATCCACCTCGTAAAACATCCCCAGTTTCTCGGCCAAACCCAAGAACCCGGGTTGCATCACCGGGAAAGATTCAGACAGAACCGGGAACTGGGTCACCGGTGTCCGGTTAAGTAGCAATAGAGACCGAACCGATCCGACATTTTGCGCAGCCTCGTTGAGATTGGTCGGACGGGCACGGAGGAGATGACCCACCGCCGAGTTTCCATTGCGGAGGAGTATCCTCGCCGCAGACGAAGAAGACGCCATCGTTAAGAGTAGCAAATGAGCTATAAGACCACGAGTTGAGGGGCTTTGGAGCGTGGAGGCGTGAGAAAGGTTAATATACAGAGATAGGTTTAGGGTTTTTGCAGGTTGAGTAAACACATGGAGCCGCCGTTCCAGAGAGTTCTTTGGATAGCTGCCACGTGTACTTACTTGTTTGTTGGGCCCCTTTTTCCAAGATTTTTGCTGCACTCTTTTTTTTTAAAACAGTATGATTGCAAGCTCTTGTTTCGTGCCTGTGTGTGTACCATCATTCATCAGTATAGAATCAAGAATCAAGAATCAAGAATCAAGAATCAAGAATCAAGAATCACTATCCCTTTTGTTACTTTTGGATCCATCAAAACTTGTACAATCTCTGATCAAATCTCTCAAAACATAAAACAAACAAGATTTTGTATCCAAATGTCATTGTCCCAATGTAATTTTGTCAGGAAATCAATCCCCTGTTTTCTTATATGCCAAGAAATGAAATTCTGCAAGCCTGTATGTGGGTCAAGACAAAACCATTTTCTCGACTGTGTAGAATCAAGGATCACTGTCACTAATAGTTACTTTGGATCCATCAAAACTGGTATAATCCCTAATCAAGCCTCTCAAACATTGAACCCCTCGGCACGAAGACACATTCGATGAGCCTCGATCCATTTCGTACAAGCTGCTTCACCATGCTCCACTATGCACTCATCTCTCAGCTTTTTCGTGTCGGGACAGGCACAGCAGATCCTCTTCTTCGGTTTGCTCTCCGCTGCTGCAACCTTAGCTGGCTCCGAGATCGACCCGTTTTCCGCTGCCTGACCACTCATATCCTGTCGTTATTGCAGATATCGTGCTCAGTCAAAAACAAGCCGGTATGCAGACCAGACATACAGCCAGTATGGCAGACATGATATGTTAACGCTTACAAATAACCCTAGTTCAATGTCTCAAACTAGAAATAGCGACCATATGAACCTCCATGGAGAAAAATCCAATGAACCATGTGAGTTACTTCTACTGTATATCTGGTTCCTTGATCGAAACCCACATGTTATAAGAAGATTCGATTTGCAGTTCGTTTCATCAGCAATCAGGAAGTTCTTTGCCCTAGTTTCATTAAGGCCAATTACTAGGCGACAACTCAATGTCAGATTCCGACATTTTCCATCGTTTTCTAGGCCGGAATCATATTCAAAGTTGTTGAACCGCCGCATGCACTGGGATCGAATCAACCTTAATCGAAATCCCCATGGTTCAAGGCTTAAAACCCTAAACTCGAATCCTTATACCCTTAATCGCAAAACCCTGAATCCAAAATCAATTAAAAATCCGCTGACTTAAGAAACGATTAACACAGCATCAACACTAAATCAGAAGCAAATCAATCCAATAGAGCAAACAAAACACACAATCTCAAGAAATAGCTTAAAACCCAGAGGAAGAAAAAACCGCAATTAATTTCCCATCCTCTCATGATCCAAACAGTGCAAAAGATACGGACAGAAATTTTCTACGGAAAAAAAAAGGGACTGACCTTCGGAACGTGCTCGGAGACAGGGAACGGAGGAACAGAGGAAATGGAGAATATTGGCGACGGTACGCGAAGGAATGAAAGGAGGAGAGTCTGTCACCAGATTGGGCTTTGGGCCGTATCTGGTTCTTATTGGGCCAAGACAGGCCCAAAATAAATAGAAAATACAAAGATTTGGTCAATGCCATTATCCAACCAAATAGAATTTTGTGGGGAAAAATTAATACTAGCCAGATTTCCTCATTTAATATTTATAGGTTATGTGAATTGGTAACTTGTGATATTTGGAAAGAAAAAAAAAAGATAGAAAAAAGGGATATAACTACATGTAAATAAAAAAATAATGTGCCATGGTTTTCTACGAGAAATTATTTAAAAAAAAAATGAGAAAATGTAATAAATAGTATACAGAAAAGGGTATTAATTACAAGAAAAGAAAAAATGGGCCCAAATTGATTTCCTTGTCTAAAATAGAGAAGACAGCCCATGAAATTTCATTGTTAGCATGTTGTTGACGAACTGTTCTCCGTTTCTTTGTCGCCAGGACTGTTACACTATTCACATCAAAACACCTATTCATAATTATGAAAATATCAACACCATTTTTGTTTTATGAAAATATAATCAGTTATATATAATTTTTTGGTACTAATGTAAACTTACCAAAAAAAATTAATTTATATACAAGAATTATTTTTTCCTTGATCATTTTCATTGTTTTTACCTTTTAGTGGCTATGGAATATCGTTAACATAGTCACCATTTTTTTTATACATATTATCAAAAACCATGTTCATAGATACATACTTTTTTTTTTGGCAAGAATATTGTACAAATATTTTAACCAAAAAAAATATTGTACATATATATACAAACTAGAATTAGTTGACCATAGATGAAATTATTGTTTGTTATTTAAATGATATTCAAATAAAAAATGCTGCTGAACCGTTCATTCATGCATGCGCAGACCAATCTGCTAAATAACTCGTATTCCATTTTTTTTTCAATAAATAACACATAAATCATCAATCCATATATATATATATATATATACGTATATATTATGAAGTTTAAATGCTTATGTCTTTAGCGTTTGTAAGTGGGACCAAACATGTGTGTCTTAAACACAAAACATTATTGACTTAAATTAAAAAAATACGAAAATATAAAAATGAAACAAATAAGAGAGACAGAGAGATGCAAATAAATAAATAATAATAATAAATAAATAAATAAATAAATAATAAAAATAAAAATAATAAAGGGATGCGAAAAGCCTGACGTTCTTCGTCCACCGAAACGACCCGACTTTTACTTCCTTCTTCTGCTAAGTTACCGTTCCCTCCATATTTCCATACCGCCATTCAAGGCACATGAACTCCACGCGCTATATATATATATATATATATATACAGACATATCAATTTTATACATCGATGAATTTCAATTTGTTTAATTTAGTCCCATAAAAAAATAATCTTTTAAATTGAATTTATAATTTTAAAATTGTTATTCATCTTAGTTTTATAAATAGCGTTATATGTAAAAAATGCTATGATCACATATAAAATTATTTTCCAATACTGCTTGAATTCCTTTAATGTTTCAAGAAGATTAATTTTTTTAAGATTATCATTTTTCTACTTTTGTTTTATTTGAAGTTATTTGAATTCAATTTAAATTTTTTTTATTTAAAATATATATGCTTATGTACAAATTACAAACACTTTTTTCTTATACTCTTTTATTTTTTAATTACATAGCATAATAACAATTAGCTGTGATTTCAAATTACTAAATATAAGAAAAAGTAGGGATTTTCATCCAAATTTTGTTGCATAGTACTAATAACGGCCATTTTTTCTGTTTTCGTAATTTATGATTAGATTAAGAAAAAAATCTAAATCTATATATATTAATAAATGAGTTTAAAGGATTGTGGTGAGGACACCTCATCTCCATCTCATCATCCATGTGGCAATGTTTTTATTTTTCATTGGTTGATAATTTATCATAAATTTTAACATAATTTATTTATGTGATATATATAATACAAAATAAATACATATATAAGGGATAAATTTCATCTTTATCGTAAAAAAACTATTTGTTTTTAGTTTTAAATAATATTATAAGAAAATTATGTTTTAAATAAAAAACAGTATATATTATATTATAGTTATATATATTTATAAACTTAACTTGAATATAAAAATAATAAAAATTGTAAAGTCATTTCAATCTACCGAGTAAATGAAAATCAATGTAATTTCATATTAGATTAATCTATTTGATATTTAGTTTAGTAAAAACAATATGCTATTATAATTTTTAAAATTTATTTTAACATAATTTATGTGATATATATAATACAAAATGAATAAATATGTAACTGATAAATTTCATCTGTATAGTAAAAAATATTTGTTTTTAGTTTTAAATAATATGATAAAAGATCATATCAAAATTAAAAAAGATTATATTACAGCTATTTATATTTGTAAATTTAACTTGAATATAAAATAATAAAATAGTAAAGTTATTTCAATTTATTGAATCAATGAAAATCAATGTAATTTCATATTAAATTTATCTACTTGATATTTAGTTCAATAAAAAACAATATGTTATTATAGTTTTTAAAAATATAACAAATTATCTTTATTTATATGTTATTTTTCGTAATTAAAATTATAGTATTTTAACATCTAATTACAATTAGTAGAATAAAAAGTTTTAAAAAAATTAAATGGCCAATGAAAACAAAAAATGTATCACTATGCATATCTTGGTGGACAAGGATATAAATTTGACAATTAAAAACATAATCTTGCGGCAGGGTTTTAAAAAAAACGTCCAAAAATAAATATTATACCCCACTTCATTCCAATTTTAATGTTATTCAAAGTATGGTACAAAACTGTTGATTATTAAAAAAAACGGTTATGTTTGAATAAATGAAAAAAATCAATTCACTTTTAAATATCTCATAATGAATTTTAAAACAAAACGTTTCGTAATAAATTTTAAAACAAAACATTCCGTAACGAATTTTAAAACGAAAACGTTCCAATAGTATTTATTTATTGCTCCACTAATGATCTTATTATTTAGTGAGTAAAAAAAAAATTGCAAACGCATGTTATCGCTCTCAAATGGTTTTCGCTCCTCAAACTCAAGATGAAGGGCAAAGCTAAAGAAGCACTTAGAAATGCCTCGGATCCTGAAGCTCATTAACCTAACATTACTCCTACATATTGTTATGATATATTCATAAGTACAACAACAAACCATTAGGAATACGAAGGCTCTCACAAGCTGCATAGCGAAGAGGTGGGTTTCATCATCATCGGAAACTCTCGCCGGAACTATCTCCGTAGAACTCACTGATGAAGAGGTGGGCACTCACACATTGCAACTTATTTCGATATTTGGTGATGGATTGGGTAAATTTTGAATTTCGTTGTATTGTATGTCAAATTAAAAATTCGTCTAGATTTATTTATTTTGTGTATGTATATGTATATAGATACATATATATACATACATGCATATTAATAAATGTGAATAAAAAAATTCAACCCGGTTATTCATACATGGATCTCTATATATATCAACTTTGGCTATTTCCATTCTGACATTCTTTTTTTAAAAAAAAAAAACTACAGGGCTATTTTGAGAATGATACAGCTGCTGCGGTGAAAGAAATTTTGTCTGAATCCCTGGAAGGTGACTTAGCATCTATGTGTTCGTGGGGCGATGAAATTAAACACCTATCATTGGCGATGGACGAGCCCTCTATTCTACGTTGACACTCATGATTTCATATGCAACTATAAGTATTGTCGTGTGTTTATTTTGTCTTTTTAATTCATCCTCTTTATGTTTATTATAACTATATTTTTGGAATAAGTTTTTTACTTTAGTCTAAACTATATATTCTGTCTTTCTTAAAGGGGATTTTCATGACACCCGTGGACACAAAGACCGGTGTGTGACCGGAGCAATTTTCAAGTACACAATGCAGTCGGGTATCAAAGAATAAAAGTTAAAGTCAAATGTGAGCTTTTTTTAAATGACATGATCCTTAAAGTATCGGTATGCAAACTTTTATGTGAACTCAAGTGGCAAATAGAGTGGTAAGTCTTTTTCTTTTTATGTTCTTATCTCATTTCATAGGAGATGTTCATCAGGTAGCATTTAATAATTCATACTTGCTCATATTGTAGAAGGTTTCAATTATTCTTTTGTATGTTGATGTTGTTGCGAATTAATACTGTCCTCATATTCATTTAACCTTTGGTTGTGACACCCCTTACACGGACCACAATGATACTAAAATCATTATAATATTATTTTTATATGTATAGTAAGTTAATTAAATAAAAAAATGGAAAAGTAGATCAAAAGATGAATATTATTTTCATTATATACGAATATTTTTTCCATTAAGTGTATTAATATTTTATATTTATATATATATATACACTAAATTATTTTATTTCGATAGTATAATATTTTAGCATAGTAAAAAACTGACCTTTTAAAACAACAATTCTTCTAACATAAAAAAATCATTGTAAATCTAATGTTTTTAAGGTTTTTTAATATATATCATTATTAAGAATTCTAAATAAATTTGAATATATAAATTTAATATAAATATAGTAATGATAAAATCTGGCAAAGCAAAGGCCGCCATCGCCGTCACGTCATCACGGCTCCACCGCATCCGGTGGTGGGAAAAATCTATCTCTGGCGAACTCCGATGGCAAGCAAGAGAAGCCCGTGAAGATCCGACAGCTCGACTATAGCGACCTTGAAGCCGCCACTAACGGCTTCTCCGACCAGAAGCTCCTCGGCAAAGGAAGCCATGGAAACATCTACAAAGCTATCGTGAGAGGATGCAGAGTCGCCGTGAAGAAACCTCCGAAAGGTGAAGAATTGAGCGAAGAAGAGATCGAGATTCTGTCCAAAATTCACAGCCCTATGTTGGTTAATCTTCTAGGGTTTACCGATGAATCGCATGATCGTCTGCTGGTGATTAGTTAATGAGCAATGATACTCTCTACCACTGTATGTATGTATTTTTTAATCATTCATATTTTATATTTGATTTTAATTTTTCGTGTATGTATAGATATATGTGTGTATATATATATATTATTAAACTTTCACTAACTTTTGCTCATAAAAATTAGGCTTTAAAAATACAGATGACACGTTTAATAAAAAATATGAAAACATATATGTGTATGTATATATGTATGTGTGTGTATTTTTTTTATCATTTATATTTTATATTCGATTGTTAATTTGTGTGTATGTATGGATATATTGTGTGTGTATTTTTTTTTATCATTTATATTTTATATTCGATTGTTAATTTGTGTATATGTATGGATATATGTGTATGTATATGTATGTATATACGTATGCATATGTGTATGTGTTTTTTTATCATTTATATTTTATATTTGATTTTTAATTTGTGTATGTATGTATCTATATATTATTAAACTATCACTATTTTTTTCTCATG